TTTTGCTGTACAGATATGCTTCATTTTTGGGGGAAAAAAATGCATTTTTCATTTGTTTTATGTATATATGATATTAACCGATGGCAATATTTCTCAAAATAAAATCGTACAAACCACTAGATTTTTTATTTAAACCAATATTGGTCTGCTTGTAAAAAAATATTATATTTGTATTAAAAATTAGATATTTTCCTGAGTGGGGTTCTATAAAGATCTGAGAATTTTTTTGTTCACCTCTGCTCATGGCCTAGTAGATAAAATCCTTGGTTAAGCTAACCCACTGATTTGACCGAAAGAGTTTTGATTTTTAGCCACAGCAGTGTTGAATAAAAATCTTGGAGGGTTGAGTTACTAAAGGGAAACAATTGAAACTGAGATACCCAGAAAAGGCATGGCACGCGGAACTAGAACAATCTACCCCCTTGGATGATATAAAGAGATCGGATCGAACTTCCAACGTATTTCACCTGGAGAAGTCCGATGCGTACAACGGTCGAAACGTCATTAACATGAAAATAAAGATAAGGGGTCGGGTTAAGATCATAGACAAAAAAACACCATTGGAAAATTCGTAATCTTAAGGAATCAGCACATATGCTAGGCCATAAAAATCTCCTGAGCCGATCATGCATAGAAATGAATACAATATGGGAACCAGTAATAAGGAGTGCCAGAGAAAAGCAATAATAAATAAATTGCAATATGAGCTCGGGTAAAAACATGAATGAAAACAGCAAAAATTGAAATAGGAGCAATGCCAAAAAATGGTTGCTGAAGACATTAGGTTTATAATACCCAGAAATTCATGTACAGATGTCCCCAAGGACACATGGCACAGTGGATAAAGGCGTTAGTTAGAGTTACCCGTTTAAAGCAGTGGATAACTTTCAGAGGGGAATTAACAGGAGATAACTGATAAATGACATCCATTAGACATGGCACGTGGATCTAGAACAGTCTACCCAATGAGCGAAATAAAGGGTTCAGTTCGACATTCCAACCACATGAAGAAGGCCGGAGCGTGTAATAAATATGGCGACAAAGATGAGGACAATAATCCGAATAATGTAAATAGTGTACATAATACCTCATCTCAGAAATATAGACAGATACTGAAAGGCCGAAACGTTGTAATAAATATGGCGACAAAGATGAGGACAATAGTCCGAATAATGTAAATAGTTTACATAATACCTCATCTTAGAAATATAGACAGATACTGAAAGGCCGAAACGTTGTAATAAATATGGCGACAAAGATGAGGACAATAATCCGAATGATGTAAATAGTGTACATAATACCACATCTCAGAAATATAGACAGATACTGAAAGGCCGAAACGTTGTAATAAATATGGCGACAAAGATGAGGACAATAGTCCGAATAATGTAAATAGTATACATAATACCTCATCTCAGAAATATAGACTGATGCTGAAAGGCCGTAACGTTGTAATAAATATGGCGACAAAGATGAGGACAATAGTCCGAATAATGTAAATCGTGTACATAATACCTCATCTCAGAAATATAGACAGCTACTGAAAGGCCGAAATTTTGTAATAAATATGGCAACAAAGATGAGGACAATAATCCGAATGATGTAAATAGTGTACATAATAATTGGCCTTGTGTCACATTTGTGGATTTCGCAGAATAAATATTACTTTCCTCTATGATAACTAGAAATGGCTTGATATAACCGTAAATTCTATGCTAAATGTTTCTTTCCTCACACGTCTCGCTTGTGGCACTATCTTCCAGCTTCTTGTTTCCCAGTTAACTTTGATCTTCAAAAATTTAAATACAACGTCTATCATTAACTTCTGTCTTGTAAATTCTTGTTCTTTTATTGTCCTCTCTCCCTAATAATAGTTTTTTTTCCTCACACACTCAGTAACTCTTAGTGGCTTTATTGCCTTGCTTGGGGTGAAATGATTAAAAGAAAATGCTAAATGTTTCTTTCCTCGCACTTCTCGCTTGTGGGATTCTCATTCGGCTCATTGCTTTCCATTCAAGTTTGATCTTCAAACATTTAAATGCAATACCAATCATTATGTTCTGTATTCTTAATAGCCTTTCTTTTATTGTCCTCTCTCCTTAAGGTATTCTTAATATTTTTCAAACTCAATAACCTCTTGCATCTTAGTGGCTTCATTACTTTCTTTGAAATGAAATGTTTTTAAAAGTAAACGGCTCAAAAGGAACGGCGAATCACTGCTAACTGTGCAAGAATTCTGGATGCGGTTATACGAGAATCATAGTAATGTTCAAGATATTTTTTCAGATGGCTCATTGGAAGCGGCAAGTTAAAAGATGAATGGAAACAAATATTTACGAAGAAATGACATTGACTGGTTCGCCCTTGTCGCCAAGGAAGTTTTTGATTTGTTTTAAGGGCAAATAAAAAATTGCCAACAATTTGTCTGTGAATTAAAAAAAAATCTGAACACTAAAATGGTGTAAGATCAAAAGAAATATCGACATTCGTCAAATCTAAATAAAAGGAAGTTCAATGTCGTTATCAGAAGATTTTAATTCTCTGAGCGAATCTTCTGAAGTCTGAGAAAAGTGAGGTAAATACGTATAGAAAATACTCCGCTTTAGACAAGAAAAATTACGAATTAAAAAAAGGCTTAATTGAACTCCTCTGACATGAACCCGTTACATATTTGAAAGCCGCACTGCAGATGACAGCGATTCATCCGGGTAGTGAATCTGATTTTAAAACAAGTCTTGTACCAACGAATGCACTGAGCTATCAAGTTCATTGTTATGTCTATTTGCATATGTAATTTACTGGAGTGATTTAAATTAAGTCATCAGTGTAACATATTAAATGACAGTAAGAAATTCTGAGGGAATCTTTTGTCTGGTTGTAATTTCAAACGTTAATAAATACATTTAAACCAGTAAGACGAGTTTTTTTTTTTGTTTTTTTATAAAAAGCTTGCTGGATGCATTTGAGAATTCGTTAATAGCTACTATTTTATTAACAGTTTCGGGCACTTCGACGTAGCGTTATTTTTAGCGAGCTTGTCTCACTTGATCAATTACGACTGAGTAGTAACTTCCATCCTCATTGGGTGCCCCTTACTTTAGGCTTTGTGCCACATCTACGCTACGGTTAGAATACCGTTTGCACTTAGAAGTGGTGTAATGGTTAGTGAGCTTGTCTCGATAGATCAATTACGACTGAATAGTGAGTTCGATCCTCACTGAGTGCCCCATACTTTCGGTTTTGTACCACATCTAAGCTACGCTGAGAAAATCAGTTGAGCACTTCGACATGGTGTAATGGTTAGCAAGTTTATCTCACTACATCAATTACGACTGAATAGTGTGTTTGATCCTCACTGGGTGCCCCATACACTCGTCCTTGTGCCACACTTAAGCTACGCTTAGTAAATCAGTACATAAGAAAAGCGCTTCAACTTGGCGCAATGGTTATCAAGCTTATCTTGTTACGACTGAATAGTGAGTTCGCCATTTCGATGTGGTGTAATGGTTAACAAGCTTGACTCGCTAGATCGATTACGACAGATTAGTGAGTCCCATCCTCATTGGTGCACCATATTTTTAGCCTTGTGCCACATCGACGCTACACTTAGAAAATAAGAAGAGCACTTCAACTTGGTGCCATGTCTCTCTAGAGCAATTACGACTGTAGAGTCCTCACTGGATATGCCCTAATCTCGGCCTTGTGCCATAACTAAGTTTAGCATAGTAAACCATTATTTGATTAGCTTTACTTATGTTATAAACTCAAATTCAACATATTTTTGTTTCTTATGTTTTAACTCATTTGCTTAATGACATAGTTCATAAGTTCGAACCCAGTCTTCGTTTATTTCATTTTTATAAAACCAGTCTTTTCAAAAACGTAAAACTGTATCTGTCTATATTTCTGAGATGAGGTATTATGTACACTATTTACATTATTAGTACAATTGACCTCATCTTTGTCGCCATATTTATTACAACGTTTCGGCCTTTCAGTATCTGTCTATATTTCTTAGATGACGGATTATGTACACTATTTACATTATTCGGACTATTGTCCTCATCTTTGTCGCCATATTTATTACAACGTTTCGGCCGTTGTACGCTCCGGCCTTCTTCATGTGGTTGGAATGTCGAACGGAACCCTTTATTTCGCTCAAAGAGGTAGACTGTTCTAGTTCCACGTGCCATGCAATATGAGCACTGGTAAAAATGGTTGCTGAGACATTAGGTTTATAATACCCAGAAATTCATACCCAGATGTCTTCAAGCACACATGGCACAGTGGATAAAGGCGTTGGTTAGATCCTGTGACAGAACATAAAGAGTGTGAGTTCAATACCCGCTTAAGGCAGTGGAGGACTTTCAGAGGGAAAATTAACAGGTGATAACTGACATCCATTAAAGATGGGAATCATTAGTCATGGTTCAAGCTTTATCTATCCTACGTATTCTCATAAACCTGTACTCGATTTCCTCAGTAATGCTCTACATTTATTAGATTGAGTAGCTTCCTAAATAAATTTTAATCAGTAAATCGAAGTGTCAGGCAAAGTCATGAGACTGACTTCATTGCTTGTTGTCATTGGTCATATTTAGAGCAACTATATCCAATGAAGTGGACTCCTTGCCCACGGTTTTAGTAATCCACAGTCAACACTTGAACTTAGAAAAAACATAATGAGGCTTCTAAAACAGCTACATATTCGATGCTGATATTGAGGAAATGTGAAAACTAAACCGAAAAATGCTGCCTTGAATTGAAAAGTGAAAGTTCTTGATTTAATAAAGTATGAAAAAATCCTATGCTGAGGTCTATGGATATAAAATAGCGAGTAACTACCTCTGAGTTTGGAAGACATCTATCTATATATCACAGTCTCTTATCTATCTATCCAGCTAAGTCATACCATTTTAATAATTGGGGTTTGTTCATGCATCAACCTCTCTTTCTCGATTAATGTCTATTTACCTATAGTAACCTGTTCTCATAACTAGATTTCCATTGTAAATTTGCCTGCTTATCTATCTATCTATCTATCTATCTATGTTCGTCTGTTCCTTTCTATTCCTCAGCTTATTATATTAATATGTCCATTATATATCTATCTATCTATCTAACTTACACATATACATCTATCTATATTAGACTGATCAATCTATCTATCTATCGATCTATCTATCTATCTAGCTCGGTCATACCTTTTTAATTATTGCAGTTCGTTCATTCATCTGCCTCTCATTCTCAATGTAAATTCATCTATCTATCTATCTATCTATATATCTATCTATCTATATATATATATATATATATATATATATATATATATATCCCAGTCATACCTATTTAATTACTTCAGTCTGTTAATACATCTGCCTCTTACTATCAATCAATCTACTTATGCATTGCAGTTTCTTCATATCTTTTTTTTTAATCTATAGTGGCCTCTTATTATCTATCTATCTATCTATCTATCTATCTATCTATCTATCTATCTATCTATCTATCTATCTATATGTTATTTTACAAGTCGTTCTTTTTAGACCAAAGTCTGTATTAACCCATTACCTGCCATGAGCCCCATTTGGGAATCTGTTAAAATTAAACTCGCTACATGTTATTCCTTGTATTTACATTGAATTGCTTACATACATTGCATTTGCAGAGGTATATTTTACAACACTTAGCCTTTAAAGTTTTTATTATTAGCCGTAAGAAGACACTTTCTGTCGTAATTTTACATTTCACGAGTAGAAAAATGATGACTATTTTGAAATGTATTTTTTTTATTATTTCTCATCAGTATTATTTTTTGATGTTTTATACACATATATATTTGATGTTCTAGTTTCTATAAAGTTTCAAAGAACCAGCTGTTCGAAAAATTTTTTAATATTCTATGTTATTTTAACTCGTAAGACACCTGCCTGGGCCAAAAATGCGCATTAAGAAAATTTGGCAGTTAATGGGTTAAACAACTGATGTTGGTAAAATTTTCAGCATTTACTTATATTTATTAAAGACATTTTTATGTTTAACGTTCTTTTTTATAGACATAAAAATGTCTTTAATAAATAAATTGTCGGACTTTGTCCATTTCTTAATATATTTACTTATATATAAACATACCATATGAATCTGGTTTCATTAGAAATATTTGCAAAAATGATTTGGCCGTGAATGATTTTATTAAGTTACTTGATGGTGTTTTTTGTAGATAAACGTAATAATTTCTAACTTTTGTTATTGTTAATTTTTAAAATTTACCTGATATTGAAAGAGAGTCATGGGACGAGAAAAACTTCTAAAAAGAAGAACGACTTGAGAAGTGATAGGAACACAGGTTTGGGAGTTGCCAAAAATTGAAACAGAGATCATAGAACAATCCAGAAAGGAATTGTAAAATTTGGTAAGATGAGAACCAGAAAAACTGGCTCCAAGAATGTGACGAAAAGAGATTTGAGTAAAATTAAAGGCGTAACAAATAAGAAAAGTGGACAGACCAGCGAAAAAATATTTGAAGACGATTTTAAGAAGCTGGTGCTGAGAATGTAAACAGAAAAAACGATGTTAAATATATTAAAGGCATTGGCTACAGGCATGAAATCAACGGAACTGTCACCTTCAAGTAAACATCACAAATAGAAATATGCAGGATGGGCGAAGGAGAACGTGGCACAAGGTCACAGTGGCGCGGGAATTCCATTGACCATACAAAACACAGATTTTGACACAAACCTTCTAAAAACTGTACACTTCCAGCTACATTAATATAAATTAATTATACAAGTACTTTTGACAGGTTCTCCGGAAAATAGTTTCCATGTCTGATGATGACTGGAGAAGATGTCGAAAGTAATAGCATATTTAAGGAAGACCTAATACAGTTTATAATTTAAAAAAGAAAAAACAAGGATCATAATATTCATCGAGTGGTTTGTAGGTTAATGCATTTTAAAAATTTAGTTAGCGAAGTGAATTCACCATTTTATCTCATTAAGTTTTTGTTGTGGTAGGATCCACCTAATTTGCATAGTGGAGTACCGACCATATAAATATGGTTGGTACCGGGAAGAGTGGGAGGAATCAAGAGATTAAACCAGAGACTCTGCCCGACTGCGACTAAGTCAACACATTCACCAGGAACGGTCTTACCAGGAATATACAAAAGACTATATGTAAATATTGTGTACACTTTCTTGTTTCAATACATTTTGTTCTAAGTACCTTTTGTGTTGCATTATTATTCCATGCATTAGTCAAGTTTCAACACTTTTCTAATTTACTTTTTGTATTAATGATTCATTCTAATATATATATATATATATATATATATATATATATATATATGGAGAGAGAGAGAGAGAGAGAGAGAGAGAGAGAGATCCATTTGGAATTCTGAAGCATCTACGTGTCTCTGTGTACTTATATAAAGAATTGGTGTTAAGTTCCTTGATTCGCGACTAAAACAAGAAAATAAACGTTAATGGAATTCCTGCTACGATTTATTTACCAAAATGAAAATATTTGAACCTATTCACGAGTGACTCGCCTGAGGATGATGTATTGAAAATCTAAACATGGTGAGGAACGGTAATGTTGGCAGGAAGCGAATAGAAAAGCTGAAACTAAATTCGTATGCCGAGTAAAATATTAATATTAGATTAGAATTGTTTTAATTTCTCGAGAATTTCCTCTATAAATAAATTGGTAGACTTAACACAGGTACCATATATACGAATGCGATGGTGAAAAAGTTTGTCAGCCATATGAAAGAAGTCCTCCTCTTTGTGAACTAAGTCGAATCGTGAACTTTTCAACATCGCCAAATATATACACAGGATGGCAATAAAGTCACTATACACTATACTCTATACTTATAATAACAATTAAGACAAAGCAATTAATCAACAGTCCAGAACTTTATTATTAAAAGGGTTCTGGTTAATAACATTGGTAAACAATAGTAAATTAATTACCAATACTATTTTGCAAATCACCTTCAGTAATTTCAATGCTATGCTTGTTATTACAAGTAACTGTCACGTGACATTATTGCCACCTTGTATATACATGATAAGAATATAGGTTTAAGTTATGCTATATTTATGTGTTAATGTGCTCACTATCAAGGAATGAAGCGTATGTAAATATAAATGTGGACATTGAAATCAACACTGAATGGCTACAGTTTGTTTCATACGCAATCTTCAAGCTATCATATCACTGTTCGTTGTTGACTTCAGTGTCCACTTTTATGTGTTTTTTTCGATACAGATTCGATGCCTTTCACTGATAATTGTAGTACATTTTTATTTCTTAAATTGAATTAAAAAAGTGAATACGGCGGTGACAATGTTTCCTTTGAAAAATCTACTTTGCAGGAATTGAACACTTTGAACCATGATCCCCTGATGAGTACGATAGATGCAAGTTCACAGAGCGGTCGGTATACGGATCACTCGGATTAAAATTCAAAATATGATTCTTTCTCAAACAACAATATAAACAATGCAAAGCTGTACTCTGAATGGCAAAAAAAACGTGAAATTGATGACAAAAGTGGAGTCTGCAGAACACCTTAAATGTTAACCTTCTAAAACTTGACTTCTAACGGGGTTAGAATACGTTTTTATTCCAACTTATTGGCATCCTTAATAAATTCACTACTATCGGATCTACAAAAACAGATTAAGTCTGCGATTTTTTTAACGTAAAGAAATTATAAATTATAAAAATAAACACAAAAAAACATCGCAGTTACAATTTAAAAAGTAAATAACGCCCGAAAGGTGGAATCGAACCACTCTGACGTTAATCAGCTACAGGTTTGAAGCCTGCACCGCAGACCACTGCAGTTCATCCGGGCAATTCTCTAAGCGTTGGGGCTTGTTTTATATCTATGAATATGTCTCGCTAGAAAATTCACGGTTATACTCATTTGCATAAATAATTTATTTGTCTGCTTTTAATTAAATACGTGGGTTAATATATAAAACACCGACAAAAATATTGAGTAAATATCTTTCCTGGCACCGATTTAAGCAAGTAAATAATTAAATTGATGCTAATAATAATTGTTTTGATGTTATTTTATGGTTCGCTATCCTCAGCCGTTGAGATCTCCGTTGTATATGCTAATTTTACGCTATTGTATTTGTCATCTACAAGCGAGCAGCTGTGTTTATATCATAGCCGCATTACATCAAGAGCCGCTTATCGTTTTTAAGGTTCAGAGTTCAAGTTTTTGTGTTGTCCTATTTTTTGAATATTGATTTTGTTTAAGCATTCTTTCATTTCCTGGAATCATTCGACAGATTTTGTTATTAAATTTTGCCGGTTTTATTCTCGTATATTTTCATTTCATTTATTTTGTTTTTGTTATCCTATCTCTCAAATCGTTTTACATTCTAACCCCACGAATTAGGCAGTTTGTGTCGATTGAGCTTGCCTGAATGACACGATCTGTAGAAATTTAAAAAAAAAATCATTTATAACAAAACAAAAAAAAATGCTGTTTTTAACCGAGAAATTTAAGAAAGAAATCAAAATATAAACATTACATTTTGAAACAGATTTCCGAATGGATGATTCTACAATCACTTTCAACTCTAGGGTCAACCATCGTCTATAGTAGATATCCACATTGTACTGATAAATCATCAGTTATCTCCCCTTAAGTTCTAGGATGTATAAAAAGCATCCTGTTTCATCCGTCAGTAGGCAAGTAGTCAGAGTAAAGTGCAATAAAGCTTTAGTATAAGTTTATTCACTGTTTCTGTTTTTACTACAGGCATAATATGCACTTCTTACTTCCAACCTTTCTTTCTATGTGACGTTTCCTATCAGGACGTTGGCGATCATGCCTCTCCACTTCTCCCTATCCCTTGCAGCTCTCAAAAACTTCCTTCCCTCTGCCACCTCCCACAGACCACGTTCTGTCATCCACTTGCTTAAAGCCTTTACACAATATCTAATTCAGTAATCCTCTACATTGAGTGGCTCTTGAGCATTGTAACGGGTGGGCAATAGTATAAAAATATCAAGAGGGAGGAAAATATACTTAGAGCCAATGAAAGCGTGCTGAGGTTTTATGCAATATCTAATCTCGTATCTCGTACTGAATACTGGACAATCTCCTCACAGATGAAAAAGAGATTTGAATGGACAGAGACGTGCTCTTACTGACGAATTCTGAGACTACTTTCGGCAGAATATGTGAGCATTGATAACATTCTAAGGAGAATAGAAACTACAAGAAACTTTTAGTCACAATCAGGAATAGAGAGCTGAAATTTCTGAGATATATAATAAGGAAAGAGGGCCTGGAAAATATAACACTCACAGGACATATTGAATATGCTTACAACTTTGTGTAGGTGAAGAAACTAGCGTAGAAAATAAGTCATCACCCACAAGGCCATGTAAACTTGGCGTACATAGTTCAGTTCATTATTCCCTTAACAAGCACCGAAGGCGAGCAGTCTATATCTTTCTTTTTCTTTTTATGTGTCGTGTCCCTTCAGGACGTAGGCGATCATAG